GGATTTGACGCACTGTGAGTATTTGGTCTAGAGTGGATTTGCCAGGTCTGAAGCCACACTGATAAGGTGCAATCAGTTGGTTGACGATTGGCTTCAATCTTTCACATAGTACGTTTGATAGAACCTTATATGCGATATTTAAAAGACTGATCCCGCGGTAGTTGGCGCAGTTTGCAGGATCACCTTTTTTGTGGATTGAGCAAAGCACACTTAAATTCCAATCGTTGGGCATGCATTCATCCGACCAAATGTTGCGAATTAGCTGTAGCATGCATTTTGATAGCTCTTCGCCAACAGCTTTAAACAGCTCAGCCGGTAAACCATCGGCGCCTACAGCTTTGTTGTTTTTGAGCCGCGTTATAACTGTTTTAACTTCATTATGATCGGGAGGCGGAACGATTATTTCATCGTCAACGATTGAAAATTCGGGATCATCTTCGCTTTCAGTCACATTGCTACTACCGCCATTTAATAGTTTCGGGAAGTGATCCCTCCAAATATTAAGCAGGCTTTGGACATCTATCACCAGATCACCGTTTTCATCTTTGCAGGAATTAGCTCCGGGTTTATAACCATTTGTCAGGCTTTTAAGTTTTTGATCGAATTTTCGAGCCATATTTTTGTCGTCTAGCTTCTCAAGCTCTTCGTACTCACGTCTTTCTGTTTCCTTCTTTTTTCGCCTGAAAAGACGTTTCTCTTCCCTTCTCTTTTGCCGATATCGCTCTTTAACAGCACGCGTCGCAACTGACCGCAGGATGGCTTGATATGCTGCGTCTTTCTCTGCGGTAGCATTGCGACACCCTTGGTCGTACCAGCTGTTTCTTTGTATACGGTGATAGCCGATCACCTCTTCTGCAGCAATACACATAGAGTTGGAGATGTGGTTCCATTGCGCGCATATATCGGCTTCTTCAGATGAATTTTCCAGATATTGGGAGAGTCGAGTAGCGAAGTCATTAGCTGTCTGTTGTGATTGCAGCTTTTCGACGTCTAGCTTTCGCTCTGCTTGTTCACGTACCTTTCTCATCGCACATAAACGTGTGCGGATCTTGGATGCAACAAGGTAATGATCCGAGTCGATGATGGCTCCTCGGATAGTACGTACATCCAAGACACTGAAAGCATGCCTTCCGTCTATCACAACGCGATCAATTTGAGATCTTGAGTTTTAATTCGGTGACAGCCATGTTGTCTTATGTATGTTGAGATGTTGGAATCTGGTACTACTAACCACCATGTTTCTAGCCGCGGCGAAATCAATCAGCCTTCTTCCATTATCAGAAGTTTTCGTGTGAAGGCTGAACTTTCCGACAGTGGCACCAAGGACACCTTCTTTACCCACCTTTGCGTTGAAGTCTCCAACAACGATTTTGATGTCATGATGGGGACAGCGTTCATATGCTTGCTCAAGCTGTTCATAGAAAATTTCCTTGGTGTCGTCATCTTTATCTTCCGTCGGGGCATGCGCACATATTAGAGTGATGAAGAAAAATTTTGCCTTAATCCGGATTTTTGCGAGCCTTTCGTTTATTGGTGTAAACGTTGAGACCAAATTTCTTAGCTTTCGGCTTACCGCAAATCCGACTACAAACTCGTGCTTTGTTGCATGGCAGCTATAGTAGATGTCACAATGTTCTCGTTTAGAGCATCCTTATCCCGTCCATCGCATTTCCTGGAGAGCGGTAATGTCAGCCTTATATTCCTTGAGCACATTAACCAGCTGTATAGATGCACCTTCTCTGTAAAGAGTTCCGACATTCCAGGTGCATATTTTTAAATCGTGTTCCTTAATACGTTTGCGTTTGTCGTTTTATAATTTATTCGTTTTATTTCGAGCACAGAAATTTTCCTAATTTGTTCAGTTCAAATTAATTAAAAAAAAAAATCCACACAACCACCACTGTCAGCTGTCTCCGGCAACTTCTCTGCCAATATTGAATAAAAATTCACTATGATCAATTATAAAACCCCTTTCACCACACTTCGTATTTCGATGTGCTAAATAAAATTAGTAGTAAAATTTTTTGAATATTTTCACTTAAAATTGTATACACTTTTTTATTACATTTATTTATTCCAAAATTATTTTGAATGAAATTAAAAAAATATTTAACAAAACAGTAAACATATTATAAAAATTTACTTATTCTATATTAATTCTTTTTGTGAATGGCGATATAAAATAATAAAATCACTTCACCGAACTATATTTTAAATCAATTTTATCGTTGTGTATTTAGCAACTAAAACAGAACAATAACACAAAACTAAAGATGCATAATAATAAAATATATTATAAAATATATTTATTGCCTCAAATGCTTTTTTTTATCACTTATAAATTTACAAACTGCTTTTAATGTATTCGAATCTATCGAACATATTTTATTGTAAAGTATAGATTTATATAATTTTACAAATAGATTTAATTTATAGATAAACATAACTTTTATTTTAACCAGTTTTCTTTATTAATATTACTAAACATATTTATTATACTAAAATAAAAAATAGTAATATTCCTTTTGTAAAATGTATGCAAAAAAAAATAATACTGCAGCCCTAAAAGAGCGAAGTTTGACGTAAGTTTGGTGAAATAACATGCATAGAATATGTGTGACCAAAATGTTATAAAAAATGAATTTTCGACAAAAATTTCTCACGTTATTCTCAGAGAGCAAAGAGTTTCTTTTCTTATACAGATATTCTTTGATTCTGACTCAAGTTTTCGTTGATTTGACTTTAACCTGAGTCAAAGAATACAAGTCAAAGTACAAGTATTCTTTGACCTGAGTCATACAAACAGCTGACAGCACTTATATTGATTTATACTCTGATCATATGATACTCATAAGCACCGACATCGACACTAAAACGATGCAAGGGATTTATAAATTATTTCTGAGTGTGACAAATAAGTAAGCATTTAAAAATTAATATGATTTTAAGAATTTATTATGCAAGAGCAACTAATTATGAGTTGCAATTTCGTTTTTCAATATAATTATTGCTTAAACAAATCAAAGAAAATGATAACTATGTATGAGAGGGTAAAGGTGTTCCAGAAATTATTTTTCTCGACATTGCTTAACAATAATATAATATTAAACCATGAAAACTTTTGCACTCGCAAAAAAATTTTATCTGTTTGTGTAACAAATTTAGTCATAAAATTTAAATATTTATATTTCTAAAACTTAGGATTAATACTCAATATTAAAAGGTAGGTAGTAGCTACTAGGTACCTGAAATCGACCTATAATTTTACTAACTTAAAACTATTTATTTAAAATTAGAATTATAGGAAATATGAACAATAATTTTGTTTAGCTTAACGTGATTAGCGAACTTGTAGATAAATATTTGCATAGCTTCTTTGTAAAATTGCACTCAAAAAAGGCGCTTTACATATATTAAGTAAAAAATATGCATAACAGATGTTTCTGCAAACAGAATAGCTTTGAGAATTGAGTAAAAATATTATAGAGTCACAATGACTCAATTTTTAAATTTTCAGCAAATGGTACGGGAGGGCGGAGTGAAGATTTTACTTCTTTCTGCGCTGCTGCTAGATCGGTCGCGCTTATGCTTGTTCTTTCCAAAAATTTTACTATTGATGAATGAAGGACAAAAATGAAAACAAAAAACAGATTTGCTTGTTACGAATGGAGACCGTACAAGAAAAGAGTCAAATTAGTTTTTGGTGTAATTATTTGTTTTTACCAGTGATTAAAAATGCTATGCTATTTCGTAGTTTTTATTATTGCTCCTGCTTCTGCTCTGAATTTGTCGGAGCACTTATGAGAGCAGAAGCACAAAACAAAATTTGCGTTGCTCTGCTATACTATGCTGTTTGATTTGTTGAAGCACGAAGCAAGAGCAAAAAATTAATATATATGCTACTGATATTCGTAGCAGTAGTCAAATTTTAAAAGTGTTGCTCAAAGTGTCGCAAAGCAAATTGTGTTGTGTGTGCATGCTACGGCTACTGCTCCCGTAGCAATTACTACTGCTCCGGAGCAACTACCGGTAGTACTCCGCAGCATATGCGTCATACTTTTCTGTTATTGAAACAATTTTTTTTTGTTTCTGCTGAAAAATTGCGATAGAATTTTACCGTTTACTATTCCGTTATTTTTATTTAAATATTTTCACTATTTTAATATACTTTATGGATTTGATATCTAGTCGTTTAGTATTAGTTCATGATCTCATATGTTGCAATGGCTTGTAATAAGAGTAACATTAATGTTTTAAAATATTTTGATCCCAGTGACGAAGGATATCTAAAATGTAAGATATGCAGTCGTATTTTAAAAAACGAGCGCATATTTAATTTAAAAAAACATTTATTACAATTGCATAAAATATGTTTAGATAGTAATAGTGAAGAAAATGATTCAACTTCTGTTGAGTCTATTAAAAATATTAAAAAACAAGTAATTAAAGTGGAAATTAACAGAAAACAATTGTTTCGATCGTACATTGGACTTGTAACAGAAGATAGCATTCCATTTAATGTTTTAAATTCCGCGAATATGAGAAATATAATCGATCCCATATGCCAAGGCCTTACAGTCAAAAATCAAAAAAATTTTTATCTAAATGGTAACAAATGTAAAAATGTATTAAAACTCGTAGCGGAAAACATTAGAATAGAAATTAAACATGAGGTGAAACATCGCCTATTATCTTTAAAAATAGATAGTGGTACTCGACTTCCCAGAAACATATTTGGAATCAGTGCACAGTTTATTAGCAAAAATGAAATAAGATCACGTATACTTGGAATGGTTGAACTTAAAGGACCGAATGCAAGTGCATCTAATAATCTTGCTAAAGAAATCTTATCAACGTTAGCAAAGTATGATATCCAAATTGGACAAATTGTGTCAATTACATCTGATAATGGGGCCAATATGATAAAAACAACGAAGTTGTTATCCCAATATTGTACAAACGAAGACGATATTGAAATGTCTGAAGTAGATAACAACAATATGTATATAAGAAATATTGATAGTTTTCAAAAATCGATAGATGTACGTTTAGGTGAAATACAAATATGCAGGTGTGCAGCTCACACAGCACAAGTTTGCGCACTTGATATAACAAAAAATGCAGATATTAGAAAATATTTGCTTCAGTGTCGCAATATGACTAAATACGTTAGAAAACCATCAAACGGGTATAGAGAAATATTTGAATTCAAAAAATTACCATTACCCCAATTGGACTGTCAAAAGACATATTAAGTCATATTGAATCAGTAGAAAACAAAACGGAAGATAAAAATTTCGACGCCAATGAGTGTTTTTGGGATTTTATTGCTAGCTACTCAACCGTTCTTAATCCATTACAAAAAACTATAGTGAAGATTCAAGAAGAACAATTACATTACGGAAATTTTTATGCTTTGTGGTTGAAATGTAAATTATCTACTAGTAAAATTTTAGCATCACATTCAGAAAATAAAAATGCAATTATTTTTCAAATTGGTCAAAGTCTAATGGAAAGCATAGAAACAAGGACTCATAAACTATTATCAAATGCAAGCTTGGATGCTTGCTTGTTTTTAGACCCAAGATTTCATCAAATGCTAAATGATTCTCAGAGGGTTGAAGCTGTAGCTTATTTAAAAAAATTATGGGATAAAATTAAATCGCATGACCCTAAACTTCTTCATTCATCTAATCCATCCCACTTAACGGCAACGGAAAGCGTACAGGTGCTGGAAGAAGATGACGACGACCTTCTTAATGAATATTTAGCTGCTAATTTAGTACCCACTGATGAATCGATTGATGTTTATTCAAAAATTGAGAGATTAAATCTTCCTTTCATGAAGGCTAACTTAAATGTATTAAATTTTTGGAAAGAAAGACAGTGCAGCGATCCAGAACTTTATGCACTTAGTAAAGTATGCTTTGCCATTCCGCCAACACAAGTAAGCTTCATCATCCATTATTGAATCTAAATGTTATAATTTTTTTTTTAAGGTCACCATAGAACGTGCATTTTCATCATTAAAATTGATTTTGGCAGATAATCGTAATCGTCTTAATCATGACACGTTAGAAAATATACTGCTAGTAAAACTTAATCCCTCCTTTTTAGATCAGTCAATAGAAAATTTGCCTTTATTCGAAGAAAATGAAGATGAATAAACACAAATCAAATTAATTTATGCATATTGTAAGCAAGAAGTATAGAGAAGGATTTTCTTCAAAAGATTGCTAATTTTATTTAGTTTTTTAATTAATTTTATTTAATTACATAAGATTTATTTTTCCCTGACAAATAAACTAATTATAAAATACTTATATGAATATTGAATAAGAATAAAAAGATATGATCACCACAATTTTTTTTTTTAATAAATTACAGTTCCAATAATTTAAATTCAATTATTACATTTCTTTTTTATTTATTTCATTTACAAAAAGTATGACGCATATGCTGCGGAGTACTACCGGTAGTTGCTCCGGAGCAGTAGTAATTGCTACGGGAGCAGTAGCCGTAGCATGCACACAAAACACAATTTGCTTTGCGACACTTTGAGCAACACTTTTAAAATTTGACTACTGCTACGAATATCAGTAGCATATATATTAATTTTTTGCTCTTGCTTCGTGCTTCAACAAATCAAACAGCATAGTATAGCAGAGCAACGCAAATTTTGTTTTGTGCTTCTGCTCTCATAAGTGCTCCGACAAATTCAGAGTAGAAGCAGGAGCAATAATAAAAACTACGAAATAGCATAGCATTTTTTTCGTTACTATTGCTGCTACGGAGTAGTAAATTCAAACCCTGGTTTTTATAATTAATGCTTGGCACCAGCAAGCAGCACGTAAAATTGCATGCATTTAATATCACTTCATAATGCAAATAAGAGAAACATCCCTACTTGTTTGGAAGTTTACTGACCTACTTATATATATATGTATGAGTATAAATGTATATTTATAAACATATGTACTTTTATTTGAAAGAATATGAATATTTTTTGATCTTATTTTAGGAACATTTGAAGCAAATGCAACCAATTTTTGTTTTAATCAGGTATAATAATAGTTATATGTATGTTATATTAGTATTAGCTAAAATAAGATAATTGTATGTAATGGACCGTGTGCGAATTCAAGTAATTGATGGTAAATTGAGGAAAATGATAAATTATGTCCGTATGGCAGCGAATGTTGGTATTTACCAGAATTTCGAGTATGGTAAATTTGATATTACCATTGGGAACATTTTATAAGATGTATAATAAAAAAATTAATAAATTTGAAAACTTTTAACATATGTAAGTGCAGTGCAAAAAACCCTAGGAAATTTAAGTTTACTTTACCATAATTTACCGAGTTGGTTTATTGGGGCCTGCAGACTTCATCGAATTGAATTGCTGGGCTTTATTCTGCTTATATTACTTCGTAAGCAATTCCTTTGTATGGTAGAGAAAGTGAAATCGACTAAGGCATAAATTGTTATATGATCTTATATTAAAAATTTTCCCTAATACAGGCTTAATAACATTTATTTATAATTTATTTATTACCATAACTACTTACTTTATTTATTTATTTTGTTCAAAATACATAGTTTAAGTGAATTAATTTTAAGATAGTTATTAATAAACATGTGTTAATAAATATGTATAAAAACGTAAATATTAATATTCATTACGTAGAAACTTTCGCTATTTTTTATGGTTATTCACGGGATATTGATCAATTTATAATTTTTTGTGTTAATATACATTAATATTTTAAACAAAGCAATTTATACATATAAACAATAAAAAATAATGTATCATATATATATCTAATAACGGGAAGAACTAACAAATGTGTTCTCTTATTGGTGGTGGTATTCCTCTATTCCTGAGCGTTGTTTATTGTCGTTTAGTCATTGGGCCTTGTTGTGGTAGGATTTTAGGCAGGTTTAGGAGTATTTTCGGAAAATCTTCTGCAGGTTGTTTTCTTTCTTCTTTTTTACCATTCTATTTTCCAATTATTTATGTGTGATAATATATACATATCTTTATCATTTATTTGCAAAAAATCTTTTTGTCGAAAATACTAATGTATATTAATATAAAAAACTAAAGTTCTTCAAATTCTTGAGGACGATTATAAATTATAGTCGAAATAGAGAACAAATAATAAAAAAAACTTTGAAATAGTAAAAAAAATCTCTTTTCTATATTATTTTTTTTAAACAAAATTTCTTCGTTAACATGGACTAGGCCTTCTGGGGATACTATGTAAAAAAAACGCACTATAAAACGCATTATACCTCATAGGTGGTCTGGAAATTAGTACGCAACTAGTAACATAAAAATTGTCACTTCTATTTAATTAACGATAACCTTTCATGTATGTCGATCTAGTAACTATAAATGATTATACAGTTATTTAAATAAATCTCCATTTCTCGGCAATTATCCGCTTGCAAGAGCTAATAGTCGATACACTTGTACCCCTTGTACTGATATTCCGTTTATACTTATTCAGTATCTTTTAAGTGCATATATATGTAAAATAGCGTTAACTATTCAAACTGCCATATAAACTGAAGGTTTAATCTTAAATCGATTTCTATATAATTTTATTGTAATACATTTGGCAAAGCTAAATCATACTATTTTTAAAAAATGTTTTACGAATTATTGGTAATTATTTTATATACATATGTGTTCTTATGATTGTATTACTTCTTAAGATTTAATATAAATATTATGTAAATGCGATAAAATTGGAAATTCATAACTAATAACAATTAATTACGAAAACAATTATAACTCTTTCTTCAAATGCTATCATAATGAAAAATTGTTTCAATGCTGCAAATAAAATTTTGATATCTCTTGCCCCGAAATTACATACAAAAATATCAATGTCCATATGTTCATATTTAAACACAAAGCAAGTAGGCATGAATGAATATAAAATAGCGAATAATTCTTTTTTCTACTTACATTATAATTCAAGGAAGCAATAACAACACCTCAAAGAGCAAAATGAGAAAAAAACACAAAAAAGAAATATAAAAATTTCTTGAACCTATGAAGCAGAGAATATTGCAAAATCTTCTTTGGTATGAAGCAAAAACGACTGAAGCGACGTCGGCAGAGATTTGAGCGATTTGGGTACCCATTAATAGATACCTAGAACAAAAATTAATTTCTATGGCATTGTGACTCTATAATATTTTTACTCAATGCTTTGAGTCAAAAATAGACAACTTTGAAAATTAACTTTCAATTCGTTGAACTTGTGTTTCCAAATAAAGCTGTGGTTTATAAACTCGTTCTAATTTAAAGCACGACAAGTGTTTTGGTTAATGACACTAATTAAAATAAAAAGTGACATAAACCCTGGAACTTAAGTATTGAAAGTTCCAGGTTGTATAGTCAGCCAGCGTTGTATAGTCAGCCAAATTTCAATAAATTAAAATAAATATTTGTCTTTGTCTTTTCTTTGCTTTTCGATCCGTCTACCTTTTAAATAGTTTCTTTCGTCATAAATACACGCCACTATCGGCAAGAAACATTTTATACCTGTTTTTGAAGAGAAAATAGTATTTTAACCTGAAATCTCAAAGTAAAAAAATATTTTAAGGCACAACAAATATTCTAGAACACAAACAAAACGTATGATTTACAATCCTAACAACAACAACATACACCTAAAGCGTAAAACTAAAGATAGAATTTTTTTGCGCGCTCACACAAAATTTCATACAGCACTCACACGAGTTATCGAGTCATTCATACTCCCCAGAAATATGCTATGATTCATGAATCATACGTATTATTGTGAAGCTGATTCATTAGCACCGGCATATCTTAACGAACATACTTATGAATCATTTCTGCTTCGAATGTGACGTATAAGTAGTGTGTGAGAAAAACATTTACACGTATTTAGATTTGGTTTTCTACGAGTGCACTCTGAGTGTTAAAATTATGACTCGTTGCAGTTCTCCGGTATATATCATATGTACGAGGAATTTATCATTTATCATATATCATATGTGCTAAGTATTTTGTAAATGCAGTTAAAAAGTGTGGATGCATGATAAGTCTGACATTTAAATTACAATGAACTTCGTACAGTATGCTAAAACAGAAACAGCTAACAGAATATTAATCTCAATCGGCTTACCGGAACCCCTCCAAATTTAGGGCAAAAAATTATTCATTTTCACATACTTTTAGTTACATCAAAAACTATGAAAGACAAAAATATGAAATTAGGTGTATTAAGTAAGTAAGTAAGAGTTTATTATTAATTTATCACTATTACAGATATGCTTTTATAACACAATGATCCTCACACAGAGTACATAAAATAGATAGATAGATTAATTAGATTATTTGAGACAATAACTATTAAGTTGTCTGTCTTGATTAAAATTGTAACGACACTTTCCCTAGGGTCGTTGCTTATTTGCTGAGGTATGCTCAGTCTCTCCAGGATCGTTACAATAAATTTTATAGATAACTAAAATATTCAGAGACACGCTTATGTTTTCTATATTTTATTGTTTAGTTGAATAAAATTTTAAAATTAACAAATATTGGTAAAGTTTAGCTTAATATTATTAGTAACTGCTTAAATTTTCCAAAGGACCTGTATTGATTTGAATATACCAGGATGCTCTGTAGTGTTTCCAGGAGTTATTTGGATGTTGTGATTCACTTTGATAGTTTAGAGTTTTCTAAGGGGTAAAAATATGGTTAGTATCGATAATTCTTGATATAGAATTATCCTTCGTTTATATATTCCGTGAAATTATATTATTTACGATAGACGTAATTCGACCACTTGAAATAATATAATTCGACTTTGTATAATAATTCTTGATGTAGAATTATGGAGATAAATTGATTTAGCTTTGTGTTAATAATTCCTGACGTGGAATTATCCTTTGTATAAATATTCTGTAAAATTATATTATTTACGATAGACGTAATTCGACCACTTGAAATAATATAATTCGACTTTGTATAATAATTCTTGATGTAGAATTATGGAGATACATTGATTTAGCTTTGTGTTAATAATTCCTGACGTGGAATTATCCTTTGTATAAATATTCTGTAAAATTATATTATTTACGATAGACGTAATTCGACCACTTGAAATAATATAATTCGACT